TATTTTCCAGCCCTGAATCAGGAGTTCTTTTTGTTTATCTATGGTGGATAAAATACCAAGACCATATTCTAGTAACTTATTTGTTTCTCACACGGAGAAATATTGCCAAGTATTTACTGAATTATCTTTATTATTAACAAATTTTTTAATAATACTGCTTTACTTAATTTGTTTAAAGTTCTGAACTTTATAATAACGATGCTTCTAATTTGTCGCCGATTTATAGGGAAAAGTTTTTTTGGCCAAATTTCATTTTCGATAGTAAAATTGCGCAACTTCAAACCAATAAATTGTTGTTCGGGTTCTAAGGATAGAGTTTTTTCCCACTCCCAAACATGGTTATTGAGCTTTAGCATTTTAAAGATCGGCTGTTTTTTTTTTTACGTCTTTATATTTACACCATAATGAATTTTTGTTGCACTAAATTTAGTTTGACTTGATTTTTTTTTTTTAAAATGATAGCCGATTGTTACTAATTATAAGCAATTGATTGAAGACGGGTGATCTATTTGATCTATATTGTTGGTTGTAAAGAAAGATAGCGACAAACAGGTTTTTCTTGTTAGTTTGCTTCTCTATTTCTAGATGCTTCTTATCAACAATTGCACATGGTGTAATTCCACAATTACACTGACACTTTTTAAATTCGATGAATTTATTATTATAACTGAATCTTTAGTTTTTCTCTTTTTTCTTGCAAATGGTATATACTTGCACTTACTTTTAGTTCTTCGCCGTCTTTATTATTTGTGTTTTCCATAAACTTGACGATAATTGTTTATTTAATATTTTTGATTGTACCACGAATAAGTTGAATTTATAATGGTTAATATAAAAAAATATTTTTTCATTGAAAATAACTTTATTTGTTTGTTTGTTTATAAGTATTTATTAATTGCATCTCTTTTTTTTCTGATATATAATACCGAGTTTGTAAATTTTGTTACACAGATACCAAATCAGAAAAATATTATAATAGTAAATGTTGATCTTATCAAAAATTCGGGAGTGAATTTGTAATTGATTGATATCAAATGCTGAAGATAATCTTTGGCAATTTCTAAAAAAAATAACAAAAATAGTTGACTTGGTTCATAAAATAGTTCATTTTTGCCTTTTGTATATGTTTTCCCATTATATAACCTTTTTTGCCTTTTCTCCTTCTCCCCAGTAGTATCTTGCATTAAATCTGTTGTTTTTACAAAAAGCACATAAATCACTATGGAATACAAGTCTCCATATATTTTTAAATGTTGTTAATAGCCAGCTGTCTTCTCATCAACTGTATCATCATATAGATATACATGTTTCAAAGGCAGGCAAATAAAGTAATGGCCTTTTGTTTAGTAAAAATCTTTACCTATAAATTAATTTTAATAACAGATTTAAAATTAGAATTAAAAAATTTTTAATTATTACTTGGTGAAGAATTCTTGTATGATTAAATATAAAAATGTTCATTTTTGGAACAATATCAAAAGAAAGAGCATTGTTTGTTTGATTTTCTTCCTTTTAAAGTGTTAGTTTTTAATTTGATGTCACTTTAGAGAAATTCCATACTCCCATCCCAAGTTTATGGATATTTAAGAACATATACAGTCAAGCCTCGTTATAATGAAGTTTGAACTAGTACAAATTTAGAAAGTATCTGAAGAAATATTGGATTTGTTTGGATATTTCTTCAGATACTTTCTAAATTTTACTAGTTCGAACTTTGTTATAACGAGCTTGACTGTATATCTACACCGAAATTCTAAATGATGATCTTCACGTGATTTGTCAAGTGAAAACATTTTTATTGGTCAAAATACCCAAAATTATTTATCTCAAAGAAATTTACAATATATAAAAAATAATAATTAATATAATGATAAAACAAAAAGCAACCACTTGGCTTATCCTAAATTATTAAATTCTAATTTTTTCTAATTCTTTTAAAACTTCATCTGGGATCTTTCTATGAGATCTGTACTTTCTAACAGCATATTCTGCTAATTTTCCACCTATTCCATGTCTATATAAATCCATGTATCTCCATGCTTTTTGGGCAAATCTTCTAATTGTAATCAAAGGCACAGGATCCAAGCTTTGGGAAACAGTTTCTTGTAATCCAGTCCATGAGTAATTGCAATTTTCTCTGTCATGACATTCAGCAGCTCCCTAATACCTTTCAATGAAATTTAACTCAGAGTGAAATTTTGGCTAAAAGATACACTTATGCCCTTCCCTTTCAATCAACTCCTGAATTGTGCTTGAAAATCTGGTTCAAGGGAAATGATTTTTTGTGCACAGCAATTCACTCTAGCTTCATCTGCAACTTTTTTTTTTTTACAATTTTTACATTCAGCTAACAACCCTTCATGCCATTTCCCTCTCTCAATTAATATTTGTTTCATTCCTTTAGATTCTCCACATAATGATTCTACAGAATAATCACCTGAAAAACCATATCTTGTGATTGATTATTTGGCCCAAAAAAAGTCTGTTGCATTTTAGGCTGCTTGCTACCAGGACCAAGATTCATTTGTGAAGCCACAAGTGCATCTTGACTAAATGCAGAATGGTTTGAACTGTTGTCAAAAGCAAATACTGCAATACAATTAGGATATAGGGCCTCAAATATTGGAATTGCTTTTTGTCCAATTTGTTGAAGAAGATGTTCAGAGGTCCAGTAACCTTCTCTATTTTTGCCAGGTTTTAAATAACAACATGCTTCTTTTGGAATGCTTGGATATTTTTTGACTTCATCAAATGGTATTTGTAATCTTCCATTTATTTCAGTTAAAAATTCACTAACTAATATTGACCTTCCATTACCTTTTTTCCTTAAGGGCATTTCTCCATCTTTGATCCAAATACCACACTTTCCATCATTTAATAGAAAATGCATTTATCATGAGTAAGGTTGCGGGAGAAACTCCTCCAGAAATCAATCGACAGAGTTTTGACAGGTTACACATTAATTGTTTATTAGAGTTTCGGCAGAGTTTCGCATTTGGGGTTTTCGCCAATCATCAGAGTTTTGACAGGTTACACATTAATTGTTCATTAGAGTTTCGACAGAGTTTCGACAGTCATTAAGAGGTTTCGCCCACAACCTTACCCATTTGTGACATAAGTAATATGATCTTGCAAATAATTTTGTTTTTTCCTCTGACTCCAAGCATGAGATGTGAGATACATAATTTGCAAGAGTTGAGATATGTCAAGATAATAGTTTAACTTGTATTTTTTTTTTTTATAACATGTTGTAGCATAAAAGCCCTTGCCATAAGAGATAGTGAAGCCATTTTGATCCAGAATGTGATCTTGTTATGATTGAAATTCTTATGAATTAACAAAAATGCTTGACAAAAAAACCACATGACATTATTATTACAAGTTTTTTGACTATTTTTGTTGATACAATTATTGTTTAGTTACCATCTTCATCATTAATGATTTTTTTTTCATATGCCTTTCTTACTTAATTTGAAGTATCTGGACAACTTTTTTAAGAATTTCATCAATATACAGGAAGCCTCCTAAAAATATCCAAATATCATATACTTTTGTTGTACTCTGTGCTTAAATAGACTTTACAAAATGAGGCTAAAATTTATATATAACCTTCACCTCCTCCATAAAGCATTTTTTCCAACAATCCTTAAAGGCATGACTGGGGTGATTGATCAATTGGTGTTGAAAGTGTGAATTCCAATATTAAACTTGCAATGGCTTATAGGAAGTTGGTTACTTCTATTTAGCTTTGTGAACTGTTAATTAAATTCATATTAATATATCAGTCAGGATGACATTTTGTCATTTCATCTTGTACAACAATTGTATGTGACCATGCCTGATCATATTAATGCAAACCTTGAAAGCTGATTGATTCTGTGAATAAAGAAAATGAATCATTTCAGTGCTCAAATAGAGAATGAAAACCAAATTAGGAGAGATATGTATAATTAATGAATTAATCTTTTGCAATAAAATTTACTACTACTATAGATAAGACACAAAAGGAAGGCTTGAAAAATGGCTTGGTAATGATCCTGCTATTGGCACATGAATCGGGAATATGTCAAAATTCAAAGTTAGTACAGTTCAGGCATTCCAACAGCATCTAAATTATGTCTTCCAACAACTCGAGCAGGCTTGGAGTTTTATGGACAACAAAAATGGAAGTGTCTAAGATGGAAGGCATATATAGAAAAATAAAATAAGTTTTGCAAAATACAATGTGTAACAAAAAAAACCAGAAATCTTTTATTTATTTTGTTCTCAATAATGGTTGAATGAAAATAGATAAAAATATATCGAAAAGAAAGCTGGAAATCAGAAGTTTTTATTAATATAAATTTTATATGAAACTTATTTTAATTGCTTTTAATATTAGGCAATGAAGTTAATTTTATTCCATTTAAAAATTCAATTATAAAAATCAGCAAATTCATTTCTCATTAATTTGCCAAAAGTCATTCCAATTCATTGGAGTTTTTAGCATTCATTACTCTATGTCTTGCTTAACAAACTTACCAAAAAATTTGGCGTTTCAATATATGAACATTGTTGAATAACCATCACATAACTAATAGCACATTTTTAAATCAAAGTCTTCATGAATAAATTTTGAGCTTAAAATAATTGACTTTCAAAAATCCGATTTAAATCAAATCAGCATCTCAATCTTTGCGATAAGTTCAGAAATGATCTCTATATAGAATGTAGTGGCAATTGGCTGCTAGAAAAAACAAAAAACATCATTTTTCTAAATTGCACCAAAAAAATTCCAGTTTTTTTTGTTACACACTATATATTTGTGCATGATTTAATTCCAGATATGATGATTTGTTGATGAATAACACAACCATTGCATTTTTGAATTATTGGAATATCAGTTGTTGAAAATATGTTATTAATTATCCAATGTTCAATAATTATTTGATTATAATTTGGATGTTTTCTATAATCTTTCCAAAAATTGGATTCTGTATCATAGGGTTCCAGATTACTACCTAATATTGACTTTGAGTATTCAAATTAGGATATGTTATTGATTGTCCCTTTAGATTTTGTATATTATGAGTTATAAATTGTGGCTTTAAAAAATTAGAACCATCATTAGATTCTAATACAATTGGTTGCAGGATTTTATACCATTTTGGTATACAGGTAGAATTACAGGTAAATGACTTATGTTTTATTGCATGCCAGTTCAGTAGAAATCTTCCTTCCAATATTGAAAGTTGTTCTAAAAACATAATTGAATTTGTCTCTGAGTTGATTTTGAACTGTATAAAACATGTACTTTACTATGCTCGTGAGGAATTTGGCCACTATGACAATTTCTAAATTTAGGAAAATATTACCAAATTTAGACTTTCCAGTTTTTTTTGTTACACACTATATATTTGTGCATGATTTAATTCCAGATATGATGATTTGTTGATGAATAACACAACCATTGCATTTTTGAATTATTGGAATATCAGTTGTTGAAAATATGTTATTAATTATCCAATGTTCAATAATTATTTGATTATAATTTGGATGTTTTCTATAATCTTTCCAAAAATTGGATTCTGTATCATAGGGTTCCAGATTACTACCTAATATTGACTTTGAGTATTCAAATTAGGATATGTTATTGATTGTCCCTTTAGATTTTGTATATTATGAGTTATAAATTGTGGCTTTAAAAAATTAGAACCATCATTAGATTCTAATACAATTGGTTGCAGGATTTTATACCATTTTGGTATACAGGTAGAATTACAGGTAAATGACTTATGTTTTATTGCATGCCAGTTCAGTAGAAATCTTCCTTCCAATATTGAAAGTTGTTCTAAAAACATAATTGAATTTGTCTCTGAGTTGATTTTGAACTGTATAAAACATGTACTTTACTATGCTCGTGAGGAATTTGGCCACTATGACAATTTCTAAATTTAGGAAAATATTACCAAATTTAGACTAGCTCTTGACTATCGTATATATCTAAATTTGGCAGTAAGAAAACTAAAATCACGTGAAGTCCTATTTTTTGAAAATTTTTATACAAAATTGCTATTTTGAAATTTGGTCGCATGACGCACAATAGGAGGTCTTTAGACCAAGCCAACCATATAATAATAATATTATGGTAGGGGAGTGTATATATATATTTCCAAGAGGAATAGCCTCATATAAAGTTAATTTGGAATTCATTTTGTGAATTATTATTTATTATATTTACTTTATTCTAATAAAATTATATGAGCAGGGTATTGCCTTTATTAAAAAAAAAAACTAATAAAATTGGCAACTATTATTATGAAAAACCATTATAAATATTAATATATATTTTTTTATCAATTGTTCTTTTAGAAAATATAAAATTAAGGAGAAAAGGAAATAGTTTGGGAGCTTCTCATGAGTAAGTATTGTTAGAACATGGTTGTCTCAAGAACTATTCTAGTTTAAAAAATTAAAAACATGTTATAATTATATGAATAGATAATAAGATATAAGGAAAAAAATAATAATATCAATTAGAATTTGCATTTTGGTTGCTTGCTTTCTGACTAGATACCCACGATTTAATTTGTGAAAGAGAAGGAATATTATTGGCTTCTATTGATTACTTTCAGTCAACATTCAGAATTCTTTTAATTTATCTTCAGCCTACTTTTTTCTATATCACCTGCCAAAAACATGGCTTTCAACTAAAGTTCCTCACGAGCTGGCTTGCAAGCCAAAAACTTATTCAGCTTGCGACCTGGCTTATGAGCCTACTAAGTTATTTGGCTTGCAAGCTGGCTCATGTGGAGCCTTACTTTCAACTGTTCAATTACATTTATATCAAACTTCTTGCCACCTTTTTTCCCTTGCTTTTTAAACTAATCCAGGTTTTAATTTTCATTTAACAATATTTTCAATTTTCAGCACTTCAAATTCATTTATTAAAAAAAGCAAATTTCAGCCAACATGCTTAATCTGGAAGAATTTATTATTTTTAAATGTGGGAGGGGAATGAGCTATTGTTTAAATATTCCCTCAAGTCTATGAAATAGTCTAAACTTTATGATATGAAAGAAAGTTCTAATGGTAATTAAGATCGAAAATAATAATATATATTATCCTGAGTTACAAACTTCAAATTGGTTGCAGACACCAACTTTATGCTAGTGTGGGGAATATGAAACAAATATCACATGAGTGCCAACTCTCATTAGTAATCAATGCTATATGGTAAACAGCCAAGCCTGGTCCGGGGGGAAGTTTTTGTCTATCTTTCATTTTGCCCAAAGCCTCCCAACATGTCAAGTCCATAACCTGTTGGAAAAAATCCTCAGAGATGAGAATGCACAAGCATGGACTTGCGTGTTTGTGAAAATTACTAAATTTGATATGTATGGTCAATATCATTAGATTTATTAAGGAACTATACAATTGGGAAGGAAGATATATAAAATTTGATGAGGTTTGTTTGCAAAAACAGGCTTTCCTTGTCTTAGTGGAGGGTTTAAAGAATGTATAGGAAGATAGATACATTTTTGATGTGAATATGCAACAACTTCGTGGAAAGGGTGACTGAAAGTTGCTGTGCAACAATTAATGACGAATGGACCCATATAAGCAAGAAGAGATAATTGAGTCATACAGGAATAAAATAAGGAAAACTTATCCTTTCCATCATTTGGTGTTATCATTGCCGTTTGCAATCCATTGTGAGATTGTAAACCGTGGACCAACCAATTGACCGTTAATATTGACCAATTAGAACGAACTTACCACGGAAGTCATGTGATGCGCTAAATATTACATCACGATTAACAATCATCTTTCTATATTTATTGCAACGGTTGCACATCATGTTACACATGTAGATCATTACATCATTTCTATTTTTAACTTATTTTATGACATAATTATTTACTTCGAATTATTAATCAAATTATTTGTAATAATGACTCATAGGATTAGTAATTATGAGTCATAGCATTAGTAATTAGCAATTAGTAAGCTAGTAATACAGAAAATAGGATTAATAAGCATATTTTATTGGATAAAATATTGTAAAGGTCATGTTATTTGTAATACCTCAAGAGGTATAAAAAGGCTTGGTTTTAGACCAAGTGAAAAAAATGTGGATCATGTTAATAACATTCATAATAATCTATAACAATTGAATAAACTCCCCCCCCCTGTTGTTAATAATTACAGTGTGGGACAAAAAAAAGGAAAATCAAATTGCCGTACCATTGAAACAATTAATCTCTCCACGTGAAAATCGACGTAGACGTTGTATACCAAGACCACAGAATAACTTTGTTTTGTATAGAAGAAACTTCCATGCTGTTATAACAAAAGAAAGAGGTCATGCTGTTGCAAAAAATTTCAAATTGATTTCAAATATGGCTGCAAAAAATTGGGCTGAAGAATCTAATGAGATAAAACAACTTTATGAACTTATTGCTGATTGTGCAAAGAAGGTTCACGATTGCACATATCCTCAATACGTATATCAACCCAAACATAAATCTTCAAAAAAAGGGAATAATAATATATTTCGTGAAGTTAGTGTGGAAACTTGTAAACAAAAAACTGAAAAATCTAAAGATAAAGTTAAATTATCATCATCATCGCCACCTTCTCCTCCTCCTTCATCTTCTCCTCCCTCAGAAAATAAATCTATCAATAATCCTATTAATACTAGTCCTATTAATGATGACAACAATATTGGTGAAAATAATGGTAATGACAGTAATATTATTAATTCACCTCATTTATCCTCCTCTTCTTCTTCCCCTTCTTTATTATCTCCAAATTTAATTCATATTAATAACATGAATTTGGATGTAGTAAACGAAGATTTTAAATTATCATTATCATCATCATCATCGTCATCGTCATCGTCATCATCATCATCATCATCATCGTCGTCATCAAATACAACATCATCATTTCCCTCAACACCATTTTCTTCAAATTCATATTCATCGTCACCATCTATTAATAATTATAACAATAATAACAATATTAATAATAATTCTTCTAATTATCACACGATTTCTTCTTCTTCAATTAAAGAATGGCGTTGGCTAAATTATAATCAATCGAATACAATAATACCATCAACTAATATGGAAATAGAACATCAATCTCAATCTCAAATACAGCCACAATTCCAATTACCATCACAAACGTCGACAACATTATCGTCATACACAGAATTACTTCCTCCGATTGACATTCCAATTTCTTCCAATTTCTTGGCTGCATATGATCGGAGTCTTTGGGATAAAGTTAACTATTTTTCAAAAATAAAATAAAAAATAATAGTTATGGATGATGATGATGATGATGATGATGATGATAAAAATAATAATAGTGGCAAAATATTAAAAATTAACGAAGATTGAATGGAATGAATTTAACGGGTGGAATGATATAAAGATGGATATTGTTTGTTTCAATTATTATTAAATTTTGTTTGGCAATAAGAAAAAAATTTTGTTGAATATTTATTTATATTATAATTTTTTTTGTTCTAATATTAATTTTAATTGTAGTGTATATTTGTTTTTTAATATTAAAAATTTTTTTTTATGAATTTGGGGGTTTTTGAAGGAAAAAAGAGAGAGAGAAGAGAGAGAAAGAAATTACTAAAAATAATTGGGTTGTAGGTTCTTTATATGTGTATGGAAAATTTTTTTTTCTTTATAAATAAATATAAATATTATAATGAAGAATGCATTCTTTGCTTAAAAAGGTAATTTAAAAAATGATATAGTAGATCTTTATTTTAAACAATTATGGTTTATATAATAAATATATATATATATGTAATAAATGTATAATTTGCTTATCTTTTTATCAGGTTATGAATTTCCTAAATTACGATTTTGTTGAACTCTTATGGATGATGGAAGGGATATGGAAGGAAGAGGAAGAGAAGAGGAAGAGGAGGGAAGGGGTAGGGGTAGGGGAAGAAGAAGAAGAGTAAGAGCAAGAGGAGGAAGAAGGGGAGGAGTAAGAACGAGATTGTATACACATAGGCAAGTTGCCATATATTATTTTCAATAATACCATTGTCTTTATTAGAGGTTTAACTTAAGATTAAAAAATAATAATAAAAGT